TTACTTTTTGCCACGTCAGTCACACACTAAGAGATACATAAATCTTTTAGGCAAAACGTACGTCACCTAGACAAACTCAAACACTAAGAATTTACGAAACATATGTTAAAGAAGATGAAAAAGGATAAATATATAATACAATTATATATCATCATCATAGAGGAGGTACAGTTGTTGTAGCGGTCATTATTTACACAAACGCAAAGACGTTTTGGAGGGTGTGTTTGAATCCATACATTTTAGTAGTACACAAAAGTATGCAACAATTCTTATGGACAAAAACACTGCAGCTCGTGTTACTACTACTTAACCAATAATGAATTAAGCTTTTCTATTTCGGCATCGGTTTAACATTCAAGAATCCGCCGCCAACTCAGGCTGCCTTAGAACCGTTTTCTCAGGGGGGCATGCGCGTAAGAGTGTGCAGATGTCGTTTTTCACTAGGAACTCCTCTGCATTCACGAGGATCAGAGGTCCATACTCAAACACCAACTTCTTGCACTGTAATAACAAAGACACAACACCGTAAAATGAGAAAAGCCTAAGCTAGCAACTATGATCATGATGTTGCCTTGCACAAGTTTGAGAAGAACACCAACACACATAGAAAGAAACGAGTATATGATAAACATGTTTAAGCAAATATTGACAACTTGATTATGTTAACCTTCTTCTCATAGTTCTTGAGCGATTTGCATCCCTTGACAAGTAGCTCAACTATATCCAGCTGGATAATCAAGGAAACAAAGTCAGTATATGAAACGCATCAGCATTATAAGAAGGAAAAAAATGTCTACATGAGGACTGTTTATACAGATAAATCCTGATAGTTAAGCATTTTCAACTGTTAAGAGTGATCTTAGGGAAAATAATAACACAAGAACACACGCGTAGGAGCTTCCTTCGACTATGATTATGGGTACTCTTAATCAGAGTGCTATGATGAGTCTATGACACAGAATGCATAAATGATAAGGCAAGTTACAAAATAAATCAATGTGATAGAGATAAAGTGATCATCTTGTAGTTACTACAAACCTGTACATCGGGATCTTGTAGTTTGATGAGAATCTCTGAAACAGTCTTGTGGCATACACCGCAACTGTCCTGACGGGCTTCTTCAACAAGAGCTACCACTTTGCCACAAAGATTCATCCTCTTGCAGAAATAATGAGGTTGAAATGACTCCAGTTGTAAGAAGAAAAGAGGGAGATAGTAATCGACCAAAGTTACGCACTGCACCAAAAACAAATCATCCAACACATTCTAGGTCATTATAGAGAATGTAGAAAAATGTAAAAGTCCACCATCAGCAAAAAGAAAACAAAAGTTTTTGTAATTCAACACATCAATTTACTGAAGCAGAAAAATGAGAGAACCTGCTGCTCAAATCCACGAATATGCGAACACCGATCATGAAGATCCTCGATTATCTGAGCTTGTGTTTCGTTTTTCTCAAGGTAGCTGAGAGCATCAGTAACATATTCCTCACAGAGAGTGCAAACATTATCATTCTTGGAAACTTCCTCTGCACAAAGACAAAACAAAATCCGAAAGTTTCTTAAATCTTTTAAGCCATAAAGAGCTTTCACTAAACTATCTAAGCCAATTCTTATAAGGGAAATTGGAATGTTGAAAGATTCATCTACCTCATCTCCAACCATAGAAACCAACTACTATTTCATTACCAAGTATCAAAGTGCAAGCTTGTATAGAACCAAGAACGAATAAAGATGGTGTCTTTAATCCCGGATTTTTGTCTGAAATTCTTACCTGAGAAGGTGGAGTCAACGAAAGATCTAGCGTCAGAAACCAAGATCAAGCCCAACAAGAAAAGAAGCAAACTTTCAGCTTTGAGTCCCATGTTATCTGGTAAAGAACACACGAATCACAAGTCAGTGAGAATTTCAATTTTCAAGTAACACTCTTTACCGGAGAGCTTCTCTGCGCCGGATTAGAGTCAAGAAGGTAAGAATATTCAGCAACTTTAAAGACACTTTTACCTTTTTTCTTCAATAAAAATCGAGCAAATGATTCGTAGAATCTGGTCTTGTGTACTAAG